GAAATATATAATACATGCAAAGAATTAACACCAGTTCTTCTCAAACTCTTCCAAAATTTTGAAGAGGAGGGATGCTTCCTAACTCCTTCTCTGAGATCAGACTGACTTTGACACCAAAACCAGCAAAGATCCTATAAGAAAAGAAACTACAGGTCAGTACCCCTTACGAATATCAATGTAAAAATCTTCAGTAAAATATGAGCAAACTAAACTAAGCAGCATGTTAAAAAGAATGATATATCATGACCAACTTGGATTTTTTACTGGAATGTTAGGATGGTTCAACACTCTATAAAATTAGTCAATGTAATACATCACATTAACAGAAAGAAGGAAAATGAATCACATCTCAATTGATGCAGAAAAAGCATTTGACAAAATTCACTCTTTCCTGATAAAAGCACTCAACAAACTATGGATAGAAGGAGACTACCTCAACATATAAAGGCTCTTCATGAAAAACCCACAGATGACATCATACTCAGTGGTAAAAGACTGAAAGTTTTTCCTCTAAGAACAGCAATAAGGAAAAGATGTGTGTTTTCAGCACAGAAGGACAAATACTATATGATCTCACTAATATGCTGTACCTAGGGCTGTCAGGTTCACAGAGGCAGGAAGTAGGATGGTGGTCGCCAGGGTCTGTGGCTGGGAATGGGAGTTAATGTTTCACACGTAGTGTTTCAGTTGGGAAAGATGGAAAACATGTAAATGAAAGTCATGATGGTTCAGTGGTATGGTGTCACAACAGTGTGAGTGTATTTACAGTCACTGAGCTGTACCTTTAAAAATGATTAAGCTCTATGTTTATGTGTATTTTACCACAATAGAGGAAATCAAGAGAAGAATTGATTAAATTTGACAGAAAACTGATTCAATGAAAATGAAATCACTGAATCAGTATTGAAGTTCTGATATTAGAGTTTTGCATTTATTTCTTAGAAAAAAAGATTGAAAATAAGTGAAAAAAAGGGTATCATTTAGAAAACTAGAAAAAGAACAAAGTAAATATAGAGAAAGTACAAGGAATTGTGTAAGAAATTATTAAGAATAAAAACAATTTTAAATCACTGAAAAGAGTAAAACAGACAAACTTTTGATAAGTCTAATCTGAATTAAAAAGGCAGATACACAGAAAATGTTAGGAAATGGAAAGGCCACATAACCACTGCCTATTTATTTATAATATCTAACATGTTTATGTTTAGGTTTATACAAATACATTTGGAAATCTACATCAAAAAGGCCTTTTTCTAGATGAATGTAAGTGATTAAGATCGTCTAAAGATAAAGTATAAAAATATATTCAAATAATCGTAGAAGAAACTGAAATAATAGTCAGAAATCTACAACTTCATATGGTTATTAGGCCCTGTTTTGAGAGATTTTTTTTTAATGGAGAAATTTCATTCACATTCATAAAAAATACCAAAAATATTTGTTGATCATTAGTGTTTATAAGACATCTTGGTAGACTCTATGGGCATTCAAGCAAGTCAGATATGGATTTAAATTATAGAGATTTAAATTATCCATTCCTGTTTGCTTGATAGTTGTAGTGCAGCTCATAATACACAGTGTTATTAAGACCACCCCAATTATGATACACATAATACTGTGCTGTGTACAAAGCAAAGCAAATTAGCTTCAGTTCTTTAGTTGACAGTAAGGATAAGGACTGAAATAACAGCAACATTGTATATTTACTGTGAGCCAGAAACTGCTGTAAGTGCTTTCTGTCGATTATCTCAAAATCAGAGCATCCTGTCAGGGAGGCACTATGTACACATTTTACACCGAGGAAGCTGAGGCACAGCAAACTAAGCAACTTGCTCAAGTTCACAGCTAGTAACTGGCAGGGTCAGGATCTGACTTGCAGAGCGTACACTTTTCACCAGCTTCTCGCCACAGGCAGCTGTCAAGGAAATTGACCAAATGAAATACACAGAGAAGTCCTTTTTTTTTTAAGCAATTGAATTATCTTGTATTCACATTTTTTTACATTTATTATTACAGGTGCAACACCACTGCAGAAAATCGGGTGATTTCACACATCATTTCGAATCACCAGAAATAATCATGCATATTTTTAAGAGTTTTAGTTTTCAATTTTATAGTAAAACATGAAGAATGTATTTTTTCTGTTAGGTTTAAACTCCTTTCACTTGTTTGATTAACAAAACCAGCTAGATAAGACCATTCAGTGCTCCATTTCCTTTTGTAAAAGTTCAAACACAAAATCACATTAAGTGTCATTACAAAGACTACTAGCAGAATTAAATGTGACATGCAAAACATTACATCATTTCCCTTTTGCCTTTTTAAAGAGAACATGTTTGAGCTTCAGCTCATCTTCTATTGCAGAATAAATGTGATCCCAATCATCTGTACCCTCAGCTAGGGAAGAGAAACTGGAAACTGTGCATTCATCTGTAACCTTAATATTTTGGAATGATCTCTTTTCTCTTAATTCACTGGCAATATAATAATTATATTACTTCAGAAGAGACTAGAAACCCGAAGCAGGCTCCACAGAGAATTTTAATTTTAACAGTTTTCTGGTAGTTTTTACCAGATGACACTCAATTCCTTATACAATGTAGGAGAGTTACATTGACTAGAGATCTTTAGTTTTGAAAAGCAAAGAACAAATTGAATATATCATTTGGTAGCCTAACCAGGCTTTTTACATTTAACTTAAAAATATGATTTTAGCCTTTTATTTATTTATTTATTTATTATTTTTTATTTTTTCTTGAGAGGGCATCTCTCATATTTATTGATCAAATGGTTGTTAACAGCAATAAAATTCTGTATAGGGGGGTCAATGCTCAATGCACAATCATTAATCCATCTCAAGCCTAGTTCTCATCAGTCTCCAATCTTCTGAAGCATAACGAACAAGTTCTTACATAGTGAACGAATTCTTACATAGTGAATAAGTTCTTACCTGGTGAACAGTACAAAGGCATTCATCACAGAAACTTTCGGTTCTTATCACGCATTATGAACTATAAACAATCAGGTCAAATATGAATATTCGTTTGATTTTTATACTTGATTTATATGTGGATCCCACATTTCTCCCTTTATTATTATTATTATTATTATTATTATTTTTAATAAACTTCTGGCCTTTTATTTTTAAAGAAACATTTTTTGTGTGTGTGCATCAAATATGTTTCAGGCACTGTTGTAGACAAATGGTGAAACCAGTCATGAAAAAAAAATTACTGGTTTGAAAGGAGAGAAGTCCATTTTTATCTTAACAAATTTTGTCATTTTGTTTTTTTTCCTCTGGGCCATCGAGACTTAGTATCGTATTTATCCCAGTGTTCCTTAACAATTAATTCAGTGAAAATTAATTGACAGCATTCCTCTTCCTGTCCATCTCCTCCCATGGACTTTGGCAGGAGGAACCAAGAAGACAAATGAAGATACTGGCCTGCGTACTGTATGTCCTCAACACTTGTCTCCATGTGGTGAAATACTATCCCTTAACCTTAACCTACCCCTGTGTTGAGAACTAGAAATTGATGAAGCGTAGGTCCAAAACAACATGTTACAAGGTGTTTGTAAAGATTAAAGAGCATGTATTCTAACAGAATCTGTCCCACTCACCAAATGACTGAACTTATACCTAAAAGACATAGCCTTAGGTCCATTTTTTAAGAAACTTTAGAGCCAAATCCATGTGGGAGAGAAAGGGGTGATGAGCGCCCTGTATCCAGGCCACAGGACAGAAGTGGGGTGCACTAACCTGCCACTGGCAGCATTGTCACAAGGGCCCCCACCCCCGCTAGGGTGTGAGATCTTCAGGACCCTGAGCTGCCCTCTAATAAAAGCCCTTCTCTGTGAGGATGAATGGGTAAAAGGCAGAAAAAGCACCAGATACAACAACATAGAGTGACTTTACAAGGTCAAAATGAAATTCCTCCCAAATTGTAACATTTTCAAGCATGGGGCAGTATGGCCTTGCTCCTGATCCCCCGCCACTGTAACAGGTGCTTAGAAATAGATGGCCTTACCCAGAGCATTCCAGTAAAGCCTCCACCTGGGAGAACTGCAGGGACCCCCCAGTTAACCAGTGTGGTGAGTCAGGTTAGAGTTTTAATTAGCACTCTGGTTGGTATCAAGCATTTTGGATACCAGCGAACTAAGTGATTCAGTCAGATGGCTCATGAGATGTCTGTGGGTGAGGGCTGTAATTCAGGTGCTTGCCAGTTGGTGACCTGCTTTTCCCTGAAGTTTCATTGAAGTATAAGTAACATACAATAAACTGCATATATTTAAAGTGAACAGTTGATAGGTTTTGATATATATATATATACATCTGTGAAACCATCACCACTATCAGGAGAGAACATATCATTCCCCAATTTTCCTTGTGCCACTTTGTAACCCATCCTTCCCTTACCCCTCCCCATGCCCTTATTCCCAAGCAACCACTGATCTGCTTTCTGTCTCTATGGATTGGCTTGCGTTTTTTGAGTATTATGTAAATGGAATTATTTAAATAAAACAACCCATTCATAAATGTAAGACTGCTATAAAAGAAAACTCTGAATTTAGGACATGTTTTTGGGCAGTGAAAGGGTATGTTTATAATAAAAATGAGGTTGATATGTTCATTTTTTCTTTAATGCTTTTCTCCTCAATGACTGATCTTTTTGTATGAATTACTATTTTTGCATTATTAAATAATATAGCCTCTCTAAACATAAAATGTCTCTTTTTAAATTAAAATTTTATTAGTGTTCTACTTTTATGTCCAGAAGCCACCTCCTGAACCAAAGTTGTTTCACTAGATTTCTGTTGCTCTTGCTTTTTGTCTTTTTGCAGAGCCTATAGGATTGGGCAATGCAGGGATGTCAAAGTGCTTAGGCTGATATCCTTGGGAACTGTGGAGGAGATCATGTACTTACAACAGGTGTACAAGCAGGTAAATATACTTCCCTTTTCTTCATGAAGAAGTAAACATTTAAGGGGATTAAAAGGTACAAACTTTCAGTCATTAAAAAAAGGATGCAACATACAGCATAGGAAATACAGCTAATTGTGACAACAGTGTATGATCAAGATGGTAGCTAGATTTAACATGGTGACCACTTTGTAATGTCTATTAATGTTGAATGACCATGTCGTACACTTGAAATGAATATAATATTGTATGTTAACTATACTTTAATTAAAAGAAAGTAAACATTTGTTTTCAAGGATTAGGAACAAACTTGTATAAAAGTATGTTTTTAATTTTATTCTAACTATAATATGGAATTTAATAAGATTATGAAATACACTCTAGAATATACTTCTATAAAACATTAATTCTTAGGTTCATTGAATTTTAGAGCTGAAAGTTTCTTAGACCAGTACTTCTTAAACTTTAATGTGCATGTGAATCACCTAGAGATCTTTAAAATATAGATTCTGATTTAGTAGTTCTGGTTGGAGTGCAAGATTGTGCATTTTTAACAAGCTCCCAGGAGTGCCAGCACTACTAGTCTACAGACCACAATTTGAGTGGCAGAGTTACAGCTCCCCAAGTTGTGGGCCAAGACATTACTGTACACCACAGCTGGGTTGCAGTGGCTCTGAGACTGAGTCCCACAGCTTTCTGGGCAGCGGGGTTATCTAAGCCAGCTTCCAGCCTTAAGTCTCCAGGTACATGTTCATATGTTACCATTTTCTGTATGTGCTGTGATATGAAAAAGATAGAAGTGCCTTAGAGATACCTAATGCACCTGTTTCATGTTGTACATAATGGAACTGGGACCCAGGGGTACTCCAGTAATGGCCTTATAGATAGAACTCAACTGCCCTTACTACTGTGCAGTGCTTTTAGTATTCATCTAGCATTACATTAACTCTTTAATGCTCCTAGGGTATCAAATGCTAGTCCATTTATGCCTCTAAATAAACTAAGTTTAATTTATAACTGCTCACTTGAGAAGACCTGGAATAAGATTCAAGTTTAATTATAAATGTTAAATTTGAATTACTCCCTATATATTCAGTTGGCATCTATTTAAGAGCAAACATCTGCCGCATGTGGTGGTAGTTAACCTAAGAACAATCTAGTCTTAAACTTATGCTTTTTTCTTAATTCTAAAAATAGAATTGCAACAGCAGTTATTGTTTTTTCTTAAACCATTTATCTCTATAAGAAACCTTTAATCTTTGCATTCTTTGGTATATAGCACACTATTTGAAAATTACTTTTTACAGAGCTTAACCAAACTTGGAAAAAAGTAGGATGTTATTTTTTTCATCTTAGGGGCAGTTCTTTAGAATACTGTCATAGACTTGTTGTAAGTAAGAGTCTTTCCTCTCAATCACGCAGTAATTTTTCTCAATCCCATTACTATATATATTTCCCTTTTGTCTGTTCATCTGACTCAAAGAAATAAAATGCATGTTATGTAATATATAATAAAAAGGCTTCAGAAATTGAGGGTAATTAAATTTTCAGAAAATTACACAATCTAGTTTCTTATTAAAATATTCTAAAAATGTGAGCCACTTAGGGAAGATTCAGCCATACAACTTGGTAGGCACAAATAAAGATATAAGATGGCAGTCATGTGAGAAAAATGCACTAAGTGTGATTTGGAGATTGATTGGAGTTTGAACCGAGTTCAAAGTATACAGCATATACACTCTAGCTCCCAAGTGTTCTTCAAATCTCTTAGGGAAAAAAAATCCAAAAAATGATGTTTAAAAAAGCACCTATAAAAATGTTGGAAAACAAAAAGAGTTCTCTCTGTGGCCCTGAAGTTGTAAGGAACCCTGAAAAACAAAAGGCATTTGGAATCAGATTGAAGGAAGAAACCAAGCTAAACTCAAGTCAAGAATAGAAAAGGTATGTACAACTACTGGATATTCTTAGTTTAGAGGCAGCAGATACTGAAAAAGAAAGGTGCCTTGGGAGAGTGTTGTGCCCCGTCTTTAGGGTATCATTGATGATCTTAACAAAGTGGTTTAACCATTACAGTTTTACCCCATTTCTACCAAATTACATCCAGCAGAAGTGTCTGCCCACAAGTCGAGACAATAAGTAGAAATACTAGAAGAAAAGAAGCAAGACAGAACTCCAGAGTTTTCCTAAAATTGAGAAGAAAGCCCCTCCCATTGCCTAGAAGATTAAATAATTACACCTCCCCATAACTTTGAATAATCAATGCAGTATGTTGAAATCAGCATATAAGGTGCTTAAAAGAGATACATACCCAATGAAAAATAATTATTGAACAGTTTAGGAAAATAAACACTATGAAAATGGTCCTCGAAAATATTAGGTCCTAATCTCTGGAACCTGTAAATGTTACTTTTTGTGGGGGAAACAAAAGGGTTTTTGCGGGTAATATTAGATAAAGTATTTTGAGATGGGGCTATTAATCTGGATTATCCAGGTGGGCCCTAAATGAGAAGTGTCCTTGTAAGAAAGAAGCAGGGAACTCTGACACAGATAAGAAGACAGTAAAGCCACAGAAGCAGAGAGATCCGAGTGGTGTGGTTAAAGCAATGGAATGCCAGCAGCCACTAGCAGTGGAAAGAGGCAAGGACTAGGTTCTCCCTTTGAGCCTCTGGAGAGAGCACTGCTCTGCCAAACCTTGATTTCAGCACAGGGATACTTATTTCAAAATTCCTGTTGTTTTAAGGCAACAAGTTTATGATATGTTAACAAGAGCCATAAAAACTAATACAGGCTCTCCAACAAAAAAAAAAAACAGAATTAGCAAGAGAAAACGGAATAGAAAAGAGTAGAAGAGATTTTTAAGGAAATATAAACAATATTTTCAAAAGGTAAGTGAAGTTGTAGGGTTCTAGAAACAAAAATAGATTGCAAGGAAAAAATCCATTAGAGATACAGAAAATGATCAGGTAGGCTAAGTAGCAAAGAGCAAAGTTTTCATCTAAAAGAGCCAAGCAGTTCTTCTAGATCACAAAACAAGAACACATGTAAGAAAAGTTAGGGGAAATGAAGGCTAGATCTAGAAGTTCTGTTATCAGCCTTGTAGCTGAAAAAGGAAACAGAAGGGAAAGAAGGAAAGAAACCCCAAATAAAGGAATAAACATGGAAGAAAATAAAAACAAGAGTCCATGGATTATATGGACCCACTGAGTGTTAAACAGGATAAATGAAAGTAGAGCCACACTTACACCGTCTTCCTGTAATTTTGAAACACCAAGGGTAAAGTGAAAAATCCATAAAATTTTCACAGGTAGACTTTCTAGAGGGAAAAAACCATTACCTACCATAATAATAGAATTAGATAGACATCTAATTTCTTACTCGTGAATAAGATATATTCACTAGTATATTTACTGGAAGGACACTTAGGAAGGAGTAGTACATTCAAATGAGGGAAAATGATAGCACTGTATTGTCAAGGAAATATGTGAATTTTTAATGCAAAACTTTCTCACAAAAATCCTAGTCTATATCACTTGCAGGAGTGGATTCTGTCAAACATTAAATAATCTTCTTGTAAAGAGGAGGAAATACTTCCAACTTAATTTAGAAAGATGGAAAAGTCCTGATACAAAGACTTCACAAATGTATTACAAGAACAGAAAATTACAAATCAATATCTCTCATGAACATAAATGTAAAATCTTTGACAAAGCCTCTGTTAGAAGTGGAATTGTGCTCCTCCCACTGGCCAAGAAAACTTTTTTAAATGTGTTGAACTCCTCGTCCCGGTTCCTATGAATGGACTCTTATTTGGAAGTAGGGCCCTTGTGCCTGTGAATGGGCTTTTATTTAGATGTAGGGTCTTTGCAGATGTAGCCAAAGTGAGGTCATATTGGATGAGGGTGGGCCCTGACCCAGGTGGGCCCTGACCCAATGCCTGACATCCTTATAAAGGTGCATATGGACCAGAGGGGAAACACCATGTAACTGGAGGCAAAGGTTGGAGTTCAGCTGCAAACCAAAGAATACCAAGAATTGCCAGCAACCACTGGACACTAGGAAGGACCTTCCCTTAAAACCTTTGCAGGACCATAGCCAGCATGGCCCTGCTAACAGCTTGATCTCGGATTTTTAGCCTCCAGAAGTGTGAGAAAATAAGTTTCTGTTTTAAGCCACCCAGTTTGTGGTACTTTATTACAGCATCTTTAAGAAACTAATACGTCCTCTAAGGCAAGTGTCATGTAATTGACTGTATTTTTCTATAAAACTTCTGTATGACAAAAGAACTACAAGCCAAATTAAAAGGGAGACCAGAAGGAAATATCTGCCATAAATATAATAAAGGATTAGCATGTACAGTGTATAAAGAACTCCCACAAACCCACAAAAAGACTATGACTAGGCATTTACTGAGGGAAAAAGTACAAATGGTTAACACGTATATGAAAAGATAATCACATTCATACTTGAGAAATACAAAATAAAATAAGATTATCTTCTGCAGATTCTACAGAAGACTTGTTTTGAGGGGTCTTTTTTTAGGAAGGTGGGGAGATTGGTGCCATTTCTTGTTGGGGTGATATTTGTAAAGAGGTACTCATATACTATTTTTCAGAATACAAAATACACCTGGTACACTTATTTTAGTGCTAATTTAATAGCATTTTAAAACACATAGCACCTTCCTCCTCTCTCACATATGCATAGTAAAGAATGGCAAGAACTCATATTCAGCACTGTTCATATTTGTTTAAAAAATGAAAAAAGAAACAGCCTAAAAGTCCAGTAGTAACAGAATGATAATGTAAATTCTGATAAGCCCATATTATAGGATACTCTGCAGCAGCAGCAGCACAAAAAAATTATAGAGCAAATGAACTGATGTGGCAAGGTTTCTAAGACATTTTTAAGTGGGGCAAAAAACTTGCAGAACAAGTAATCAACTGTATTTATATATAAAACTATTTATGTATATGTAAATAGCTCTAAATACATTAAAAAAGATCTAGAAGGATACACCTAAACATTACGGTATGGGTTATACTGATGGTGATCTGTGCTGTTCAACAGGGACTTTCACTTTGACATTTTTGTTGGCATTTGGTGGTAATGCATTCAGATAGTTTATGCTTTTTAAAAATAAAACCATGATTTCTATGGCAACTGACTCCTATAATGTTCGGAGCATTGCACGTAATCTAAAGTTTGGCATTCAGAAATTCATCTTTAATGCATATGTATATGTGAAATTATATAGAGGGAATTTAAATGTAAATTAAATTTGTAAAAATATAATTCATTTAAAAATCAGTTTTACAGAAGAGTTGTAAGAACAGCATGAAGAACTCCCAATTAACTCACCCAGATTCCTCAGCTGTTCACATTTCACCACATCTGCTGCATCTTTCTCTCAGACATGATCTTTTATTCCTTTTCTGAACTACTTGAGAGAAAGTTACAGATTTATCACCTCTAAATCCTCTAGTGTGTATTTCCCCAGAACAAGGACACTGTTTTTTACATGTACACATAAAAATAGTCTTATCCATTAGAAAACACTCCATTTTATGTTTTGTTCTGAAACTTCTTTTTTCCCTCCAGTGTCCTCTTGAAAATGCAGTTATCCAAATCAAGAAACAAACATTAATATACTTTGTGATCTCAGAACCCATCCAGATTTCACCCATTTTCCTGGCAATGTCTCCTGGATTATCTGGGTGGACCCCGTGTAATCATAAGGATATTTATAAAGGGAGCGGTTGGGCAGGAGGCTCAGAGAAAGAGGAAGAGATTCCTAGGGCAGAAGCAGGTCTGGAGAATGATACAAAGGTGCCACACTACCAGCCTTTAAGGCGGAGGTAGCGCTGGAGCTCCCTAACATGTGACCATTCCTGCTTTTCTTTTTACATCTTGCATTATCTTGTAAGTTGCTAAGAAGAAATGCAAGCATTTGTAGCCTTGTATGAGTTTTTCTTAAGCTACATTTCCTAATTCCTGATTTTTTTCCTCTACCCTTTTGAATTCTAATGTTTTTCTGTAGTTAACTTACAGGCGGATGCGGCCTTCACTTTTACTGAAGCCATTTTGGGAAAGATTATAAATACAAAATGAGGTGCCTTTTGTAAGTTTTGTCGTAAAGCTGTTGTAGGAAACTTACAGAGATTCAGATGAATGCCCACCCATCACTTGGTCATTCTGTCTAGTCCCTGCAGTCTGACAGCACAGTGCTGAAGGTGGCGCCAGCAAGGGCAGAGCCACCAGGTGCCTGGGCCGTCAGGTACATTAATTGCTATTGTGGTTCCATATTTCCAGGACTATAGCTCATGTTTTTGGGACACTGCTATTAGAGCTGATCCAGTCAGTATGTTGATCCACAACTTCTTCAAGCTGAGGCCCCAAGGGTCTTGTTTTGAGAGGGATGTTCTGGACATGAGAGATGTTACAGTGTAAATTTTGGATTCAGCCAAACCCAAGAATAATTCTAGAAATAACTTCCAAGCTGGGCATCTAATGAGCAATTTCTCTAAACTTAAATTCCTTACAAAAGGGAGATATCTTTTAGGGTTGTAGGAATTAAATGCAAGAATGTAAAAAGGTACACATGTAATAAGTGTTCAATAAATAGCAGCTATTATTAAGAATTCTTTTCATTGCCTAGAGTAATGTATTACAGTGCAAATCAACTCTGATGATAATCACAAAAGTATTACTTCTTACTAATCCTTCCATCAACATTAGGCTGAAGTTATTTTCCCTTCTGTGCATTTGTTTCTGACAAGAAATTTTAAAGTATACATGGGGTTGATCAGATTTTATTTACATAACATTTAGTAAAATTTCCAGTAAATAAAAACGCACAATAACGTTGATACTAAAGTGGTATATGGCCTTACAGGTTCCACGTCAGTGTTCTTTATGCATTCAAAATTGTTTCAAAGATGTGATGTTTCTAAACAGTGGTTGACTTTTTGACACCCACAGGTTTAGCATACAATTATTTTAGATCATAATCTAATTTTGGTGATACAGTAGCTATTTTTGTCAGTTTTAGTAGTTGCTATTGTAATAATAGTCTAGAAGGAGAAATGCATACTCAGATGTATGCCTTTATTATTAGACATATTATATCAGGTGGGTGTTTCATGGAGATATAATCTTGACTAAGTTGGTAGAAAACAGATTAAATAGGGAATGTCAGCTCTCTTCAGTAACACTGGCCAGATTATTACCGTTTCACCATAATGGCAACATCTGCCAGGGAAATGAAAATAAAATTTCCTGCCTAAGTAGATTCTGCCTGCTCCAGCTAAAGCTGTGTATATATGGGGAATGCCAGGAAATTCTGACATATTGTTGGAGCAAACACTTCAAAAATATCTTGTGTTTTTTCTGTTCTAGCAACTTCACTGTGTGGTATAGTTGGAAGCGAAAATGCCAGGCGATATTTTGAAGCAGTTCAAGGATCAAAACAGCACCGAGGAGAGCTCTTCGGGGTCTGTAACCTCTTCAGACTATGGTCCGAAGGCTCTTGTCTTACCAGCGACATCCTGGAGGGGTGAAATTGTTCTCTGACCTTTTCAATAATATTTTAAACACATTTTTCTCCCTTAGTAAACTTGAAATACAATTTCTGGTGCCTTTTCAGAGAAATGTTTCATTTTTGTTACAAAAAATGCCTTGTGTTGAGAATTTCTACTTTTAGAGAAATAAGAAATGTATTATTGTATTATTGTACCTTTAAACTAAGATTTTTCTCATATATAGTTATAAATAATGTACACACACTAGATGTATACATATACTAGATATGTACATATACTAGATAGTGTGACCTCCAGGGCCATTTTCAGACTGGCAAAGAGAAATGTATTATTTTTTAAAATAGCTGTTGAAGTCAAGAACTAAAAAGAAACTTTCCTAAATAAACAAAAATTTTAAATGTGTTTTGGTTAAAAGTTACCAAATACTCCCTGAGATGCACTCTCATGTTTCATGGAGATTTTTGTTTTCTGTTCCCAATAAAAATTCCACACCAATATTTCAAACTCTCTCACGTGTGTTTATCCTCAGCATACAGATGTTTCTTATTCTCCAAACAAGATATTTATATCCTTTGAAAAAATATTTTAAATTCTTTCACACACCAGCATACAAAGGCTATTAACCTATTTTCTAGTTGATGTTGACATGAGCATAATAAAGTCCTGGACTGTTGTCCTTGTTAACCTCCTTACCATAAAAATGAGGGAACTGAGTCCTAGGAAACTTAAGGATATTTCCCTTAACTTCCAGGACTTTGTAGTAAAACTTTCATGTAAGTCATTTATTGACCTAAAACAGTACTGTAAAAACAGGAACACTTGGTCCCTGTCCTAACTTACACCATCGTGATGGGAGGCGGAAGGGAACACTTACATAATGAGCATTACCATTAGTGAGCATGTTAAGCAAGATCTGTGCCAGTTCAAAGTGATCGCTGATGGATGGGGAAGAAGAAGGTATATATTATTTGTGTCCTATGAATATTACAACTATTATACAATGTCTTATGTTCACAGCTGAGTTTCTGTTACAGTAACTATTTGATTCTAAATTGAGGGGCCCATTTAAAGGTCCCCTTTCTCTGTCTTTTCTATTGAATATGCTGCTGCTTTCAGACTTCCTTCCCCCAGTTCCTCTTTTGTAATCAGCAGCATTTTTTGCCTTCCAGGCCCCCCTCTGATCCTGCCTCCATCTCAGAGTACCACCCCACCTCCAGCCTGTACTCATGTTTCTAATCTGAGATCATTATCCACAAAACTTATTAGCACTGTATGACTTGTCCTGTTTTCTGCCATATATTAAATAGTTCAGTGTTTCAGTTTGTCAGAGTAGCCACCTATTCCATTGTTAAAGTGTGAAGTAAGACATTCAGTATGTTAAGTCACATGGAAAGTTGTCTTGCTCTCTCATTGTCCTAAGTGTATCTTGTTTTTCCTCCAGGGTTGTTTATTAGTAGCAGGACCCTCCACATCTTATATTTTGTTTGCAGTAAAACGTACTTAAGTTCTTGCCAGGCATACTGTCAACATTCAGTGATGAAATTTTGAATTAAGATTGTTCATTTGTTACCAAGAGTATCCAAATTTATTCAGGCCTCATTAAATGCATGCTGCTTTTGGCCAGGTGATGTTTTAAAATATGATTGTTCCAAGCCCTGTATAATGGAAGCACATATTATAAAATAAGTATTTTATTCCCTGTGCTATGTTTTTAATTTTTAAAGGTTGTAGAAAATCCCTTTTAAAATGTTTTAAGATGTAGAAATTTGAATTTATAGAACACTTTTAATCTGATGAGTTGGGACAATTTAGTTATATTTTGCATTGACTTTCTGTTGTCTGTTGTCTGTATCATGGTTTCCCTTTAGAAATAGATATTGAGAGTTGACTTCACAAATACTTTCTGATGTCTGCTAAATGTCAGGTCCTGTACATCACAGAGCTAGGCATAGAGAAATGAATAAAACAGTCAAAAAATCCTACCCACAAAAAATGTATAGTCTGTTTGGGAGAGACAAGTAATAAAAAAATAAGTGAAGCATATAGTATATGACAATGATAGGTTCTAAGGATAGAAATGGAGCAGGTAGAAGATAAGTTCTGGAGATCTAATGCACAGTGTAGTGATTATAGCCGGCAGTACTATATTATATATATATAAAATTGCTGAGGGAGTAGATCTTACATGTTCTCACCACAAAAACCAAGTGTTAATTATGTGACAGAGGTGTCCCCTAAAGCTCAGGTGGTTACATATTGCAGTATACAAATGTGTCAAATCAGCAGCGCACACCCTGCGTGTACACAGTGTTTGTGTGAATTATATCTCAGTATAAAACAGCGCAGACAGGACACGTAGGGAGGCTGTCAGCATTGTAGTCATAGGTGGAGTGGCTGGGGAAGTGCTCGCTGTGAGGTGGCCTTGGTTCTTTGGAGAGATGAGGGGGAGATATGCTTCCACAGAGGAGCCTGCCCAGCACAATTTTGAAATGGTAGGGAGGCCAGAATGGCTGGAGTGAAGATCAAGAGAGCAAAAGGTGGTGACAGAGAGACGACAGGAACCCCCATCATGCGGAACTGTGGCTGTGACTTTGAGACAGAACTTACAGTATGGCATGCCATGAAATGCCCCCCGTTCTGGCACACGGGGTTCTCCCTGGAGGCGGGCACGGGTTTGAGGGCTGCCGCTGCCGAAAGGGCTGTGCGCGGAGCGCTCGGGGCAAGCAGGCTGGCCGTGCGCCTCGGACTCTTACTGCTGTTCTCAACTTACAGCCCAGAGGCTTCTGAGCGAACAGAGACGCGGCCTGCTCTGTGTTCCCCGGACTGAACCCAGGGACTTAGACTGTAGTACTGAGCAGAGGCAGGGCACCGGGGAGGACACTGTGGCAGTCCAGCTGGGTATGGTGGTCTGGGCCGGAGTGGCAGTGGAGAAGGGCGAGGACTCGGGGGCAGCGACCGGCTGCTGACGGGTCCGGTACGGGGTCTGAGACGAGCCTGACTCCAGGGTGCTCAGACCAGAGTAGCCGCCCCCCGTCAGCGGGGTCCTGGCAGCTTGACGGCTGCTGGCGCTGTCGGTTGCATCTGTCGCAGGCCCTGGGCTTCCACTGAGGAGATACAGGCAGGACCGGGAAGGAGGCTGCCCACCCCGGCCCGTGGTCGTCCCCAGGCCCCGGGAGAAGGGACCTCATGGCAGCCCAGGGGCTCTATAATTCTCTGGTTCTGCGGAGAAGACGCCCAGTTGTTGCCCAGATACCAAGCGGCTGGGACCATTGGTGTGTCCTCCTGAATCGGGCATTGGTAACTAGCCTGGCAGTACCACTGTTCCTGTCCCGGTAACAAAGCCTTAAAAAGAGAAATAAGCTGGTTTCCTTTTAAAGGAGAATTTAATATTCTAGAATCTAGGCCATTAATACCTCTGCTAAATGGTATACCAAAAGTTTTAAAAACGTGAAGTTTCCCAAAAGATGTAGCAAACCTGTTATATAATTAAGAGTGTTTTAGTTTCATATTAGATGGACTTTTTCATTTTGATGCCTACTATGCTGCAGGAATCAGTGAAAGTGTTTAAATGAGTATGAATAATAAATACACTAGCAATATAGACTAGATTGTGCAATTCCCAACACTCCACATTATCTGTGGTGTTTGAAATGTTGATATTATGTCCTTCCTATAAATATTGCATAGACATGGTTACTATTAGGTACTTATGGATCATTATTGAGCAAATCCATGGCATTTCTCAGTCTCCCCCCAGCCTCATGAGACGTTTCCCTGGAGCTGGCTGCAAAGTAGTACTCACTCGTCTTCACTCTGGCAAAGTCAGCTTTGAGGCAAGAAGTGAGAGTGTGTGCCAGGCCCTGCTGCTCCCGCTGTGCCTCTCCACTACCTGCGACTTAGGAGAATTTTAATGTTCTGTAAACTGCATGTGAGTCCTTACAGCAAATTGAAAAATAGGAGAACTAAGCAAGCTGCACTCAGTTTTCCTTTCCCAACCCCAGGTTTTAGTGTACATTGATGCCGTTTATCTGGTTTTTACCCCGTATTTTACTCAGTTACTTGCATTCTCTTGAGGGAAGGCCAAGTGGAAGCGGGGGTCCTGACGGTCACAACATGGCTGAAAGAGGAGCCTCCAGTGCGCAGCCTGGGAACTGTGAGCAGCTCCTGCGTCTGTAGCGTGGAACTCGGACAGCACGTGCCATGACCATCTTAAGTTTCTTTTCCTTTCTCTCTCAATTTTCAATGAGTGAAGAAAAAAATCTTCTAAAAAAAATCCAAGGACACAAAGTTAGAAGACTGTCAGTGAAATTAATAATTTAGGCTAATTTAACATTTCATATCATAACAAATTCAGGAGCAGTCATCAGGCATTTATATCCAAACTGGAATTTCAGCTATCCCAAACTGTCCATCCAAAATTAAGTGGGGTCTAATATGTGATCTCACCTGCAATTACTAGAGATCATACCATGTTCAGTGCTAGTACATGATAAATGGTGTCTCACTGAGTGTGACATCCAATTTGTAAGTGTCACCTTGCCCCCAACACCTATATATTAAAAAAATTTCTACTGCATTAAAAAAATTGGTCCTTGTATAGGGAACTGGTCCAATCTTAAATAAATAATTTTTACTAAACAATAAATTAAATGGAAAAATAGTAATCTGTGTGTTTATGATTACTAAATCCAAACATCAAAATCACTGACTCAAGCAGATAATTTTATTTGAGTACTTGATCTTGGGATCCTTTCAGTAGCTTGTCATGTCACATACTACAAAATCTATATGTATTGTCATCCTAAGGCCTTTTTAAAAGTAAAGAATATGTGTTGAAAGTTTTTTGTTATTGCCTGTTTTTTCTTGTTTGTTTTTAGCAGTTTAACCATAAATTTGTACCCAATGATTTGAAATATGGGAAGAATATTTTTCTCTGTAGAAATACCTGCATATCAAATGTTGACAGAAGTATTACTGTATGATACATTCTCTAAATCTTTTACTAATGAAGCCTTAGTTTTAAGAAACTGAAGGATGTATTTAGCTCTGATTGATATGAGAAAATAAATGCTGAATTTATATTTGTAGCAAATTTTACTTCAAAACATCTTCAGTATTTTCTGAATGTCTTGTGGTCATGATCCTATCAGATCTTATTTTAATCAGTAGTTATATTGTCTCGTTATGAATTCTTTAACTCCTACACATTTTTTAAGGCATATTTCAAGAATCTGCTGGACTGCAGAAAGCAAGTTGTGTATGTCCCGGCCCGCGGGACGAACGTGGAGTGTACCGGAGACGCCTGCAGAAATGAGACAAGCAAGAGACACAAAGAATGACCAGCAAGACAGGATGTCTGATCAAGCTGGCGAAGTTTATTGTTTACAGGCTCAATTTATACAAGTAGCAAGTAAGGGGTGGGTCAGGAGATAATTGGACCTTAGGTGGCGCTGGTGGGGAGGTGTTTTCACACATCCTCAAGGTCTCCCTATTTTCAGAGTGAGGAGTCCTGGCCCATCTTCAAGGACAAGATATGTTTTTGTGAGCAGATAACTTCCAAGGACTGCACCGGTTGCTCTCAAGCTTGTGCTTTCCCATGCTGCGTTCAGACGTGGGGGAAGGGACATAGCCCCGGCTCCCAACATGTGTACTTTTCTCTTCTGAGTCCAGGAATTGGTTCCTGCATCTGAGAGGCTGACCACTCTGCTCTGTATTTTCCTTATAAATAATTTGATCATGTGGTATTCTCGCTTAAACGTATTTGTTTTGGAAAGTATTCAACTTGAAAAGAGCAAATAGTGTGCCAAAGTGTAATGTTAAATCCTTTACGTTTGTGTATTAACTGTACTTCCAGAAAGTATCAAGTGACACACTTGTGCCCTAATTCAGTTCCCTTCCAGCGTGATGATTTGACATCTCACCATGATGTTGTCTTAACATTTTCTGTCGTTGCTCCTGGACAGCTGAGGGAACCTGAGCGTCGGGGACACGGAGGTCCAGAGCAGCCCCCGGAGCTGCTGGCTGAAGACGGGCGTGATCCCTGCAGTGACTTCAGCAATGAGGAACCGCTGGGAGACTTGGGGGTCAAGGCTGTGAGGAAGGAAGCACCTGGCGCACGTTGAGCTGTGGGCTCTCCTGGACAGCTTTCCTTACTCCAGTGCGGTTTCTCCAAGTTGTCTGAGACAGAGTGTGAAGCCGTTGAGGCCAGTGATGGAAATACCGCCTCTGATGAAAGTTCTAATGAACAGCCCACATGCCATTCAACAGAAGCCAAAGATGCTCGTTGTCAGAAAAGCCACGACTCCCTTGGTACTAAAGAATACCAGAAATTAGCTAACATCCTAAATCCAAGTGAAAAATATGATTTTGATAAAAGTGAGATTTTAGACCAGAGTATTTCTTCTGAATCTGATGGTGAGAAAATTTTTTTAAACGCAGCTGATCACCACTGCAATTTAGGGGATGTCACAGAATCAGAAGACAGTGATGTCATCTTTCCCACCCAGTATACAACACAGGGATTCTCTACGAACAGTGTGCAGTGTAAGCCGTCCATGGATAGATCTGAAGATCCTGTAACAGAAAACTATGTGAAAATAATAAATACTTGTGATGATAGAAAGCCTGATGTCCAACGAAATGGACTACTTTCAAAACAATTACATTCTGAGAACATGGCCCTGAAATCTGTGAAAAGAAATGGCAATAGTGATATTAGTGATGAGACTGATGACATTGAAATTCCCTCCAAGTCAAGAGTAAGAAAGCAAAGGGCTACTAGTTCTTTGAGGTTTAAGAGAAAAAAAGAAAGTAAAATGGAACTTTCCTAAAACACTGAAGAAAGCAAACCAACTGTGTACAACAGATGAAAATTGTAACTCTCAGGCTGTTGATAATTTTTCATCCTCAGATGATGGTTTATCTGTTAGCCACATCAGTTTCTCTAAACAGAACCATAGACCAAAAACTATAAAAGATAGAGTCAGTTTCTCCTCAAAATTGCCTAGCCATAAGAAAAATTAGCACTTTCAGACTAAGAAAACTGATGAAGTTTTCAAATGACAGAGTTATCAATCAAGAACAGGTGTATGAATCCATGGATAAATTCTTAGGTAACTATCGATACGTTCTGAAAACGTTTCTTTACATATTTGTTTTGTGCAAATAGTTCTGTAAGAGATTCTTCAATTAGCTTGTAAAATAGTTCTACAATCAAGATGTTACATTGGGGAAGTAGGTGGCAGGATAAAGGAAGGACCTCCTCAGCCAAGATAACTTTGTCCCCTACCCCAAGACCTGCCCCCACTCGTGCCCCATTAAGTACTAATTATTCTAACTTTTGCAGTATTTTTTGCATTTTTATGGAATACACAAATGTGTATCCCTAGGCCTGATAGTTTAGTCTTACCCACTTCTGAAAAATGTTTATGTAGTCTCTTTTAATCTATAGGATTCCTCTCCCATCCCTTTCATTTTCTCATGATTTATTTGAAGAACCTGGGCCATCTCTGAATTTTCCTCAATTTGCATTTTGCTGATTACATGTACTCTTGATGCAGTTGAACATACTCCTCTGTCCTCTACACTTTCTGGAAATGAACAATTGGCTCCTGAGACCGTATCAAACTTGGGTTCAGTTTCCCTGACAAGATAAAAGTTAGTGTCTGCTAAGACTGTGGGAGGCACACATGATCCTGGCAGCCATTGATGCTTAATGCCTGTACCTGTTTAATTCATTCACAGTAGCAAAATGATATTTTCCAGATCTTTTTCATTTGTTAGTTAAAATGCTTCTATAAAGAGATACCTCTACTCATCCACTATTACTTCCCTAGTGATTCAGTTCATATGGAGAAGGCAGGAAAAATACTTAATTCCTTTCTTCATCAATTTTTAGTAAATAGATTCCGTATCATCCTCAGAGGATGATCCATTCTTTTCTTAAAATCAGTATGAAGTAATTGATTCAAACCCATTTAATGGATCTTAATCCACTGCAGTTAATATTGTTGAGGCTCAGTTATCCCATCTTTAGGCAGTGGAAATCTTTGTTCCTGAGACCTTTTGATGTGATGTCTTTGATTGCTATCTAGTATTACAAAGTGTCCAGTGTCATCTCATACATTTTTTTCCCCAGGCCCAGAATCAGTTGTCTCTCCAAGAAGTCTTGGTTTCTTTTAATTATGAAAGTGTGTTTTAAGACAACTTGATCTAAGAATGATTGGAGCTAAGAATGATCATTGCTGCTACTAACATTTCTGGGCCTTTTCCTTGGACAGATTATTTGTATGTATATGTGTGTATGTGTGTGTGTGTGTGTATATATATACACACACATTCATGTATTTGCATATACATGTTTATATTATGTGTATGTATGTATGTATAATTTGCATATAAATGTATATGTGCATTTATATACATATATGCAATTTATATATGATGATACAATATTTAATGAGTTTATATTGATACTTCCACACTTACATTGATACTTAATTTGAGGTCCTCAAGCTTTTGCTTGATCTCTTCTCTGTCACATTTGTATACCATTTCCTCCACCTAGTAATCCTGGCTCTTAAGCATATAGGAAATTATTTAATTATAATATCCCATAATTACTCACTTGTTTTATCCCATATTACACAAAAGTCCAGGAAAAAAGATGCCAGTACTGCCACACTAGGATTCCTGGAAACATTAAGGGTTTTAGAGTATGGTTGCATACTGTTTCTCCCCATTCTAAAGGTGGCTGTATTGTGTCTACAGTGTTGAAGCATATGCACATTGCATTGTATATCCCCCCCTCTCAGACTTCATAACCATAAATTCAGTGCTGCCCATCGTCCCTCTGTCTCTCCTGTCATTTTGTTGTCTAAAGGTTATTTTCTAGTAGATCCCTCAGGAAGTGCTCATGAGAATAATAGTCCCTGAGATTCTTACTGATAATAGTTTGTGTCCTTTATACTTAAGGTCATTTTTGCTGGATATAAAATCCTTGGCTCACACTTTGTTTTTTAGCATTTTAAATATGTATCTTCATTTTCTTCTGGCATGAAGTTTTGTCCCCTGCATTTGTTTGTTTGTTTGTTTGTTTGTTTTCCTAAATACCCAAAAGGTTTTCTTCTCTTCATCATTTTCCAGTAATTTTACTAGCTTGTGTTTTGCCTTACTTAGCTCAGGCTGCTGAGTAGCTAAAACAAGATTTCTCACAGTTCTTCTGGAGGGGAGAAGTCCAAGATCAAGTTCCAGCACGGGTCAGTTCTCAGGGAGGCACTCTTCCCGGTTTACAGGGGGTTGTCGTCTTGCTGTGTCCTCGCATGGCAGAGAGAGAAATCATCTCCCTTGTGTATCTGATTAGGGCACTAATCCCATTCATTAGGACTCTACCCACTTGACCTAATTACCTCCCAAAGCCCCAACCTCCACATACTGTCACACTGGGGCCTCCACATATGAGTTTTGGGGAGACACAAGCATTCAGTCCATGGCAGTGCTGGTTATTCTTGGTCACTATTCTCGTAGTATAGTTTCCACTCAGTTTTTATTTCAGGAAATCTTTCCTATACTAGTATTTTTCATATTTGATTTGGCTTTCTTTAGGCACTTCTGTTACTCAAATGTTTGATTTTTGCCTGTCTTCGGTATTTGTCACATCCTCTCGAATCCCTTCATATTTCTTTTTTCTTTCACTTAAAAAATTTTTGCTTCTATTTCTCTTAAGGCATTATCTATTATGTTTATTCCTTCTTCTGTTCCTTCAAATTTAGTCTTCATTTATGAAATAATGTTTTTTTAATTTCTAAGTCTTTTGTGAGTCTTGACACTCATTTCTGAGTTATTCTAATTCTGATTTATGTTGTTGTGTCCTGTATTTTATTATATTCTTAAAGGTTTTTAATCTCATTTTGAAATCTGCTACAATTTTTGAAGGGCCCCCATCCGTAAGATGGCGAACTTCCTGCTTCTCTTCCAGGTCTTTGGTTCCCGCCGGCGCCACCTGAAGCCCAATCACCTCTCGCCCCCCTCCCAATCCCAGTACCTAGCCAATAGCCACCAGCCCCGTAGAAGTGACACCTCAATCAGCTCATGCCCCTTCCTATATAACCCAGCACCTTTCCCTAATAAAGTGGAATTCTCCAGTGAATTGCTGCTGTGTGTCGCTCCTTCCTTTCAATTTTGACCTGTTGTGTGTGCACACTTTCCTGGTATGTTTTTATTTTTATTGTAGGTATATTATTCTGCTTATTCTTTTTCCTCTTAGAATGATTTTTATGAGATTGACTCGCCTGCTCATTTTTACAGAAGTTATTTTCCCTTCAATTTTAAATGAGACAGAATTTGGGAAATCTAGTTTCATAGAGGTCCATAACTTATTTTTCTGTATAGTGACAAGGGCTGGGGCTGGGGCTTTTGGGGTGTCTTATCATCTTGTTTTGTTGTGTTGCCCAGAGCTCTGGTCTTTCTGTCTAGGTGTTTTCTGTTCCCACGTAGCCATTCAGAGAGACCGAAAAATTGCTTCCCCTACCACCACCATCTGCTGAGAATCTGTTTAGTGATTTAAGACTTAGCATTTCTTTGAAAGCATCTGACTCATTCCCAAAAACCGATGTAAGAGAAGCTGATATAAAAGCTAGCATGTCCACAGGAGCAAGAAGACAGCATGCATGACAGGTACCCTGGCCTTGTTTGGGCTGCTGTTCTCATGTGCAGTAATTGGTAGAAACAGATGAGGAATTGATTGGTTAATTTGTTCCGTCAGCACTTTGGAGTATCTGAGCATCAGGTGAATATGCTCTTAGCCCAGCCTTGGAGTTGTCTGTCAGGAGAAAAATGCACAGCACTTAACAGAATCATGAGGTGAGAACCATTGAGAGTGGGCCTCGATGTAAGGCAAGAATTGGTGTTCATTTCGGTGCCCCACCTCACCCTGTACATCCAGACTGCATTTCAAAATTACCTTTTTTTCTTATTCAGGAAAGGATAAGACATTCAAGATACTCAAAATATTTGTAATGAATTAAGTAATAAGGAACAACATGGCTTCTTATGAGAAATTTCCAAATTAAATCCCATTGCAGTAATTATAAGAGAGTCTTTTTCTGTATTTCAGCTACTTGTTAATCCCTGCAGATGGCTCGTGGAAGCAGTGCTTAGTAGTCTGGTTGACCCCTTCCCAGGACAGTCATGGCTTTAAGAACTGCAGGTGTGGCATTTGCAGTATCTTGGAGTAGAGGCAGGGCTCACTTACCTGCAAGTCTTGCTTCGCACCTTTGTGTTGTAGACTTTCTTTGTCTTCCCAGCAGGATAGGTTTACTTCCACTTAGCACAGTGGAAAATCCTGAACATGGAAATAAAATTTTCTCATATTTTCCAGTCACCCACAGAACTGCATGGGAACAGAGCCTTTAACCTGTGATCAGGACAGGTGAGGGTTAAGTGCACAGAACTTAATGGTAATGCTGTTGCATTTCTGGACCTTTGTTTCCAGCTGTGTGCTCATTATGATGGTGCCATTACAGCAGGTGATTCAGATAATCCTGGAGCTGCTGTTCCCTGACTAGCACTGTGCTGTATTTCAACTCCTTTTCCCCTGCAGATAAAGGAAGAATTGATTGAAGAGTGGCAACCAGAACCTCTTGTTCCTCCTGTTTCAGAAGACCATCCTGCTCTCAACTACATCGTTTCAGGGTAAATCGGTTTGCTGCCCGAAGGCCTTACCCTTGGTTTCCCATAGGTAACAAAGTATGCGGTGGTTTATATAGTTTTCCTTTTTACTGGAATGAAATGTTCACCAGGTTTCCAGAGATCAGAAACTAACTGCTCTAGTTCCCAGTATATAACTTCTTTTTAGGGGTGGTATGGACATGTTTTATTTTTTGGCCATTAAAGTTTGTCCCTCTTTTCTATTAAAAATATTTTGTTCACAGTATACATGCTCATGGTAGTATTTCAGAAGGTCAGATACACTTAAGATGAAAAGCGCACTCCTGCTTTTCCCCCCCGGCTTGCATCTGGTTTTAGATCTGTTGTAGGTCACCTTCATAACTACAGGTGGTGACAGGCTCACACTGCAGTTCTCTGACTGCCCGCAAACACCAGCCACCTCTTCCAGTAGGAGCGAGGAGGCCGACCCACACTGCCTCCTGCCTTCCGTTGTCTAGTCTGCCTTTGGTTCTCCTGTTGGTTAGCTTTGCTTCATTGTATGAGCTTTTTTAAATTAAGTATATTAAGTATGCAGAAAATACTAGATACGTATTGACCCACCACCCAGAATTAATAGGCATTAATGTTTTGCAATCTTTAAATCTATTTGAAAAATAAAGAAAACATTAAACATTACAAGTATACCTGAGCAACCTCCTTTCCATCGACTGCTTATCCCTACCTTCCACTCAAGGTAACCGCTGTTGCTGTCTTCAAGTTGGTGCACTTCTTTCCTTTGCTTGTGACATACTTTTACCACGTATTCCTTTCGCCATGGAAATTCTTTGTATTTTGTCTAAAAATGTGATGCAGATATTTTCCTGAATGTATCCTTCCACTTCTGGTCTGATCTAAGAAAGGCTGCTTCGCTTCTATGGATTTCCGTGGCCTTATAAAAGTTTTGCGTGTTCTGAAAGCACACATACTAATAACCACAAATGTTACGGTTAAGGACCCCTCCCTACCCCAGAGGCTCAGTGATCTGTTTTCCGTATGTCGGTCAGCTGTCCCAGTGTTCTCAGTTGAATAGTTCATTTTTAACACGGACTGGAAGTTTCCCTTCTTTTGTATATCACATTCCCTTGCAAAGGGTCTGTTGCCAGCTTTATTTCTACCTTTTGGTGTATTTGTCTCTCCTTGTGCCAGAACCTCACTCATGGAAATGCCGCAGCTTAAGAACAGGCCTCGACCAGAGTGAGTTCTTCACCTTGTTCTTCAACATTGTCTAGGCTGTTCTCAACTCAACTCTTTATTCCTCACTGAATTTCAGTTTGGGTGATCAAATCTGACCAATAAATGGCTTGAGTTGACTAGCAGTTCACTGATTTTGTGGATCAGTTTAAAAAGAATTGGAAACTGGGTAATGCTGAATCTTGTCACGCTGTAGCTGGCATATCGCATCGTCACGGTCCAGCCGCAACAGTTGTACAGAGCCACCGAAGGACATGAGACCGGAATAAAGGACAGAAGAGAGGTGGGGAGGGCTGAGGCTCCTACTCGGTCACCAGCAAAACTTTATTGAAGGTCTAGGGTATTTATACAGCAAAAAGCTCACTATTCCAGGAAATGGCATTATCCAATAAACAATCAAGCACAGTATTGACTTCAGCGGTAACTGGGCAAAGGTAGGCTCAGCAGGGTTCCGTTAGTTGCTCATGGAGTGCATAAACAGAGTGTTCTTTGTTCTCCATTCCCACCACATCGGCAAGTGGGGGAAGGGCATAGCCAGAAGCAGGGGTGGTGTTTTCACACATCCTCAAGGTTTCCCTATTTTCAGAGTGAGGAGTCTTGGCTCCTCCTCAAGGAAAAGACATGTTTTTGTGGGCAGATAACTTCCAAGGACTGCATCGGTTGCTCTCAAGCTTATGCTTTCCCATGCTGCCTTCAGACATGGGGAAAGGGACATAGCCCCGGCTCCCAGCATCGCATGTATACTGAGGTCTTCCATATCCCACCGTGAACTTACATAATTTCTTGATAAAGACTTTGCTTATCTTCTTTTCCCTGCTGTCTATTTTGAAGTAATAGTAGCTTCACATGCACTTATAGGAGATACTACAGAGAGATCCCATGTACCCTTCATCAGTTTCCCCCCACGTTACCATCTTGGCTGTCATATAGTGCATCACAGCCAGGAAGCTGACACTGTACATCTTCTAATACATTTCTCTCTAGGTACCAGAGAGTTTTTGTTGCTGTCATGAGGAGCATGTTTTTCTTCCTGGGACACCTCTCTTGTTGTGTTGAATAGGAGTGGTGACAAGGGCCTCTGTGTCCTGTTCCTGGTGGCTTCGTAGCCATAACCTGTATCAAGTTGATAGGCCTTTCTATCTCTTCCTAGTTTGCTGAGGGAACTTTTTCAATAGTTTTCAAAATCAGAATATTAAATTGTATCAAGTACATTCTCTGTACCTATTGAGACGACCATATATGACTTTGAACCATGTATGCCTTTCACCATGGAAATTCTTTGTATATTATATATTAAATTATATATTCCAGTTACTATATTAAATTATACAGATAGGATTTTAAAATTACTCATACATATACATTTCTGTGAGAAGTACTGCAGTCCAGCATGCCACCCTTCCTCATGCCAGATTCCCACTTTAGAAGTCAACACTTTCCATTTCTATAGCTTTTTTTCCTGGCATTTCTCTGTTTTTTCTAAAGAGTTTGCCTGTGTGATTCTTTCTTCTTTTTTCTTTCTTTCACGGTGTTAGTTACACCCATTAATTGTAGAGGTGAAGGCTGGCTCTCTGAAGATGCGCACAGACTTGCTGCTGCAGGCCTATAGTGGCCCCTGCAGGGCCCTTGTGTGGACTAGCATGGCTGCCCCCCGCAAATTCAGCAGCCTCCCTGGCACCCTCAGTGGGACTGGAGCTGCACAGCCACACAGCTGCCCCCATCTTCCCTTCTCCCGGCAGTCTTGTCGTTTCGCAGTGTGTCCTAGATCACTCAGTGTTTGCATTTCCGTGATTGTATTAATACCGTCCATTCAGCAGCCATTTCTTTTTCACTATGCAAAATAGCTTAATTTAATTTTCTTTTCCCTGGAGTTAATCATTTTCCTTTGCTTGATTGCTTGCTTCTACATACCAGTCCAGTTCATCCTGTTGTCTTTCTCCAAGAGAGAGGATCTCCATTCAGAATGTTTAAACATTGGGTTCATACTCTTTTCCCTTCCTGGAACCCTTGTCATTTGCTCCTGTCCTGACTGGTGTTCTGTGGAGCTGCTGCCCAGGGCTGCCTTACTCTCAGGAATCCCATGTGTCTCTCCTGCTCCAGCTGTCTCCGCTCGTGCTTTACTTCTTATGTTGGTAGAGTGCAAATAGACTCCTGAGGAAGGCCTGAAGGAAGGTAAATTTTTTGAAACCATACACATCTTTAAATTATTTTTTACTTTACTCATACCCTGGAGTAATTGTTAAACCTGATTTTTTTTAAATTAAGGGATCACTGATACACACTCTTACTAAGGTTTCACGTGGAAAACATTGTGTTCTTGAACCTGATTTTAATAGATCTGTTAGATACCTTCTCAGTGTCTGGTGATCCTTAACATAAATTTCTTTTCAATATACTGAATATTTTCATTGTCATCAGTAGCATTATGTAAACTGCAAAAACCACAGAACAGTTTGAATGCTGTTTTGTGGATAGTGATAACCTTAGTCACTTTTCAGTTTTTGCAGTGCCTCTGCTTTCTGTACTGAGTTGACACAAGAATAAGTGAGATTTGTTAACTCGGATAGATTTTTTTTCCTTTAAATAACAGGCTTATTGATACATAATCCATGTACAATAAAGTTCACTTTTTGAAAAGGTATAGAATTAAGTGGGTTTTAGTATATTTGCCACCATCTAGTTCCAGAATATTTTCATCCCCCCAAAAGAAATCCCACACTCTTAGCAGTAGCTCCCCATTCCCCCTTCTCTGCAGCTGGTGCCTACTCATTGACTTCCTGTGCGGGTTTGCCTGTTCTGGATATTTCACATAAAAGGGACCGTACAATACATGGCCTTTTGGGTCTGACTCCTTTCATATAACATAGTAGTTTCAAGGTTCAGTCATGTTGTAGCATGCATCAGTATTTAATTCACTTTTCTGGCTGAATATGAATAGTATTCCACTCTGTGGATATGTCACAGTTTGTTAATACATTTATCAGTTTATGGACATTTGGGTTGTTTCTATATGGGTGTATATGAAAAGATACATATACATATATATATGCGTATGTATACATACGCATATATATATGTATCTCCTATGAATAATTTGTTTACACATTTTTGTATAAACATGTTTTCATTTCTCTTGGAATGTACATAAGAGTGAAATTGTTGAGTCATAATGTAACTCATTTTGAGGAACCACCAAATCGTTTTACAAAGTGGCTGAATCATTTTACACTCCTATCAGCAGTGTCTGAGAGTTCTGATTTCTCCACATTCTGTCAAACATTGTCTATCTTTTTTATTATAGCCACCCTAGTAGGTGAGAACTGGTATATCATTGTGGTTTTGATTTGTATTTCCCTAATGACTAACAATGTTGAGCATCTTTTCATGTGCAAATTAGCCAGTTATATATATGTTCTTTGGACAATTGCCCATTTTTGAATTGGGTTGTCTTTTTATCCTTGAATTGTATGAGTTTTATATATTTTGGATACCAGTCCCTTACAAATATATGACTTGCAATAGTTTTTCCCATTCTGTGCATTTTTGTATCACTTCCCTGATAGTGTACTTTGAAAAACAAATGTTTTTCATTTTAATGATGTCCAATCCATCTTTTTCTTTCCTTGCTTGTGCTTTTGTATCTAAAACTCTTTGCCTAATCTAAGCTTATGAAGATTTCCTTCTTTGTTTATAGTTTATAGTTTATAGTTTGTGCTGTTATAGTTAAGTTCAGGTGTATGATTCATTTTGAGTTAATTTTTCTGTATGGTAATGAGGTAGGGGTCCATCTTCATTCTTTTTTCACATGTGTGTAGCCAGTTGTCCCAGCACCATCTGTTGGGAAAAACAGGAAAGATTCTTTCCCTGTTTTTGTCTTGGTACTCTCTTGAAAATCAACCAATCATAAATTTAAGGTTGTCCATATCGACTTTTAAGAATGAGACACAGAAATGCTATTAGAAGCCCTGTGTAAATGGGGTGGGCTTCCTGACTGATAGAAGGCTTCATTCTAGGATGATCAAACAGGGACCTGTCCATTAAACATTTGTGATTTTTAACATCTGTGTTGAAAAGTAAGTTTAGTCTCTTTCTTTTCTTTTCTTTTACTATGCTGGTTCAGTTTTAGTATTAGAGATAGATTAATTTTATCATTTTCTTAGCATGTATTCATTGTGTTTGTGATTTTAATGAATTTGATAATTTCATTGTCTAGAGTGAGTTTTCAAAGCTGTTCAGGTTTCCTTCCTAAGTTTAGTGTACTGTCATTGAGCAGTTGTCCATTTCTTTTTAGATTTTCAAATGTATTGGCATGAATTGATTTCTAGGATTGTCCTGGCCATGCATATATAAAATATATATACACATGTAACTTTATTACAGATGCATTGACATATCTGTGGGATCATGTCTCCATTGCAGGCCTTGTTTGTTTGTGTTTCTTCCTTTCTCACTCCAATTTGCCAGAGGCTTGCTTCTGTTGAGCTGAGGCGCTATGTTGTGTTCTCCATCTCGGGCCTCCCCACGAGGCCCAGGCCCCGGCCCTGTCCTCAGAGCCACCATGGTCGGCAGCCAGGAAAGACAGTGCTCTCATTTGTTTTCTTCTTTATTTCGGTTACCCCAGTGCCTGCCTCTGTTCTCCTCCCATGAGGAGACCCATGGTCACAGGTTCCTGTTCTCATTTGATGTGTTACGTTATTTCTGTTACTAAAATGATTGATATTTTATTATATTGAGTTTTTGAAGTTACATGATCTTAATATTTTATGGATGTATGCTTTTAATTTTGTTCTCCAGACTTCATTCTAATTTTTCACAAGTTTTTTACTCAACATTTATTTTTTGAACATGTATTAGAGTGTGTACTGTGTTCTAGGAATGTGCTGAGCACATGGAGTAAATTACAATCTTAGGCCAACAATGAAATAAATACAGTGTTAGCTGGAATTAAGTGGTCTGAAGAAATGTCAAAGCAGAGCAGAGAGGTGGGTTGCTGGAGGGACTTCTGAATTATTTCTTCTGAGAGCTCCACAGTGTTCTGTTGTGTGTGGTCACCAGATTTTACCGAGCCCCTTTCCTCTGGATACCTCAGCTGCCCTCACTCCCTGCTGCCACAGAAAACCCGGTGATTAATAAGCCCTTGTGGACCTGTTTGAATCTCTCTGGGGGTGTAGAACCAAAAGTGGGGTGCTGATGGTGTCTCATTTCCCAGTGGGATTTTTCCACATCGTGACACAGCCGTATCCACCTGTTCCCCCCAACTTCATGGAGGTTCCAGTTTCCCCACAGCCCTTTTGGGTAGCATTGCTTTACTTTGCATTTCTCTGATTATTTGAGTCTCATTTCACCTTATTAGCTGCTGTAGTTTCCCCTTCGAAAATGAATCGAATGCCTCTTTATATCTTTTACCTCATTTTTCCCACCAGATTCCCAGCCTGTCTTGATCAGCAAGAGTCTTATATACTCTGTAGGTTTTAACCCTGGGTAGTTTTTGATGTAGTACACCTGCATTAATTCTAAGACACTTTTTTTCCTGTGTAAGATCTCTGACATGAATCTTAGAGCTGCTGACAGTCATTGTCAGCCAGTGGGGGGTTTTCACTGCCTGTGTACCTGTGAACGTGGTCGTGGCTGCGCTCACTGCCAGCTTCAGGTGAGTGAGGAGCACTGCTGGTAAGTCAGCTAGGCAGAGGCAGGAGAAACAGCCGGACCCCTACAGGAGGATTAAACGGCCACTGTGACGAAGGCTTGAACATCTCATTGTCAAACTTGTGCTGCCTTTTAGTAACAGCTTCCTTTCTAGACACATGTGATTTGATTGGAGGAAAGATGAGTCTGGGAATTGAGTCCAGTAAGAAAGTTCCAATATCAGCACTTGAGAATGGGTGACACTCGCTTGCTTGTTGGGTAATTGCAGGGATGGTAGGGGAGCGCGGGATACTCCTGATAGTGGGAAGGAGAATCTGCACAGATCGCCATGGTGACTGTGACTCAGCAGAGGAGAGCAGACGGTTGGAACTCAGGTAGAGAGGGTAGGAATGTCCTGAGCCATATCTTGCCTACATTCTCCTTTTCATAAGTGCACAAGTAGTGTGACAAAAATCTGTTCCTAAGAATGCCTAGGAGAACTTTTCATTAAATGTAAACTAAAAATTCTGGATGACAAGAAAACATTGTTACATTTTAATCAGTACTGTTTCTCTTCCTTAGTAGTAAATAAAATACAGTCAGTTACATCTTAGTGAAATAGAATCTCTTTATCATCCATCTATTAATTTTGTCTTTGGCATCTTCATTGAACCAAAGTTCATAATTTTGACTTGGTCAGATTCATCTGTTTTGGCCTCATGGTTTGGGTTTGGAGACTTGTCTTAGAAATCATTTCCTCCTCCAAGGTCTCATAGACATTCTTTTGCATTTTCTTCCGTTATCTTTCCCAGGATAACTTTAATGTCTGAAATTCACCTTTGTACATGGTTATTCAACTTCATTTTTCTGCACAGAAAATTAAATGTGTAACTTAGTAGTTTGTGGGGCTCCTGCTACCATTTACCATGTATTTATATATACACAGTTCTCTTGAGTTTTGGGTTCTTTTATTGATTAAGCTGTCTGTTCTCAGACCAGTACCAAACCTGTTGTTAATGGGGTTCTGTAGTATTTGTTTGTTTCTCTGGTAAATCACCGACCTTCTTGTTTCTAAGTTCATTTGTGTAATTACTGACTCTCACTAATAGTGATGTTATGATTTTTGATTAGTGAGGATTTTATTTTCCCTCCCTAAAGTCCTTTGAGGCCTTAATTGTGGAGCTGTCTTTCTAGATTGGTGTATTTCCCTCTGTGAGGGACCCTGAAGGGTCATAGGCTCCAGGATTCCTGCATCAGGTACTCAGTATGACTTAGCACTGCAAGCCTGCATGGGGCACAGGTGTGAATCTTCCATTTCTCACTGGAAACGTCTCCCCTGCTGCCAGGGCTGAGCAGAAACAAGATGGCGACATTCCTGCATCGTGTTCCTCTTCCCAGCTCACCGACTGTGGGCAGGGCTTTGGGTGTACTTACTCTGACAACTCAGTTTCTCTGTGACTTACAGTCTTTGTTGAATGGCCTTGATTTCCCCAGCAGCAGGCTTTGGTAGGCACTTCTCAGCATGCACCTCTGCTGTCTGTCTCTGGGTGCCAACCAGGGACACCAGAGAGCGCTGTGGAGACCAATGGCGGCCCCAGGACTGGGAGCTCAGTGATGCCATGGTTTCGGAGTCACAGTGGGTGGTTTTACAGAGGAGGAGCCTGTGAAGCTGTATGGTAGGAGGAAGAAAATACTTATCATTTCTTCCAAGCCAGGCACTTTTATAGTAATTAGCCTAAAAGTTAGCTTCTCCTTGGTTTGTAGATGAAGAAACTGAGACTCCCAGTGGCCAAGTAACATCCTGAGGTTCTGAAGCTATTGGAGCCGTAATGCCAGTGGAGTTTGTTTGGCTGACTCTACTTGGCTGACTCTACAACCCATGTTCTTGTCACCAGGTCTTCTTGGCCTTTTATGTGAGTTCATCTGTTTCTCGAGCATGCTTTTCCTTCCTGATTTCTCATCATCTTTTGCTGTCTTTCTCATAGAAAACCATACTGAGGTTAAAACGTGCCAAGAGCAGTGTGTCTCAGCTTTCTCTGACTGCAGTGCATTTTGCAGGGCAGCCCAGTACACAGCCCGAGGCGTGTGGACATCTGCAACCCATCTGCTCGCCCTGTGAGGTGTATTCTGACATTTTGCTTTCCATCTTCTTCCTGTGGTTTCCTTCACTTGAAATAGTTTGGTTGTGATTAAATTGGTTTTACAACTCTTTAATGGCTCACAGCCATAGTTGGACTCTGCGTTTTGAAGCATGGCCTAGAGCTGGAGTGCCGTCAGCAGGGGACCTGATGGGCCATCTCCTCAAGAGCCCATCCCCTGTTGCAGCCAAACTGAGATCCAGATGGTCACCCTGTTTCCTTTCCTTTTTTACCTTTGGGGTTGGGATGTGGTAGGTGGAGAAGTCCTCTTAAACAGTATTCCAGCATTAACTTTAGAACTTGGAAACATATCCCACCTGTTCTTTTAGTGGCTTCCTATAGGTGTCCCGGGTTATGTATGTTGAAACTTCCTAACTGTAATAGAATCGTAACTTGCTCTGCCTAATCTTGCCTTGATCTTGATCTTTTCATATTTCCCCCATTTGTCTTATAGAGGTTTTTCTGAGGTACTTTATTTAGCTGCTTCTTTCCTAAGTGAGTTTTAAAGTCAACAGAAAGATTTTCTATGTATCCATCTTGGAGTTCTAACCTTTTTTTTTTTGAACTTAAGTAGAACAAGGTAGCCTTTAGAATAGAATTAATGACTGAATACCTGATTTTTAATACACCATTTTCTAATTTCACTTTATAGAAGTTAAAAAAGATCTGTAAGCCCAATATGCACATAGGGCAGAATGATAGCCCTTGTAGTCCAGTATGCGAGTGTGGCAGCACGTGCCCTGTGATCCAGATGTCCATTCAGGTTTACCACTCTCTTCTCTCTTCCCCAGCCCGCCAAGCCACAAAATTGTGGTGAATGGAAAAGAATGCATAAACTTTGCCTCATTTAACTTTCTTGGATTGTTGGATAACCCTAGGGTCAAGGTAAGTGGCATGTTTGCTGAAGTGGACAGATAGCATGACAGACATAAGGAAATGGACATAAAATAGACAAATGCATAATATTGGAAAGGGCTATCTAAGTGTTTTCATAGTATTCTTTTCTGATAGAGCTGTAAACTGGATTTTGACAGAGGACAGCAAGAGTGGCTAACATGGCTCAGTGTTGAGGGACACCCAGAGAATTTTATGAGCCAGACCTGAATGATAGACCTGTGTAGATATTTACTCCATCTCTTTTTGGGACTACGGGCCAGTAAATGTTCTTGAGGAAAAACTTATGCTTACAAAAGTATATGGAGTTAATGCTAACAAGTATAAAGGCACTGAGTTGACCAGGTTTTGATAATCGAGCGAATACATCTTTTCAGTGTTTTAATCTAAATCATTACATCTCCCAGTTAGAATTGTCCTAGTTCTAAGGAAGAAAGGAAAATGGGGTAGGGAGGAAGGACCTATGTGGGTTAAAGAATAGGAAATGTTCGTTTCAAACTCTTAAAGAGAAATTATTAAAATCTAATTTTTTTATTTCCCCAAAGGCAGCAGCTTTGGCGTCTCTAAAGAAGTATGGCGTGGGGACTTGTGGACCTAGAGGGTTTTATGGCACATTTGGTATGTTTCTGTCGTATTTTCAGATTACTGTTTTTGAGAATTAAGATTCAACTTGATTGTAAAGCTCTTGGAAAAGATGTCCTTAATCAGTTGTGCTGGTGAGCTGGTGAGTGTGTTTCTTACCTAACCACGTAACCTCTGGGACATCTTGCATTTGGAACCACTGGTGGGAGATGCATTAGTCTGGGATTGCACACCACTTTGGAGATGAGCTGTGGTACCTCAGCTGTGCAGTGTTGGCAGGGCAGGGCAAAGCCTGAGCTGCTGTGGCACATGCCTCAGGACATGGGGGTGAAGAGACCATGTGTTCCTGTCACACATGACCATAGTTGTCTGGGAAGGGTCCAGCTGCAGGGAGCTCTGCTCTTCCCCATCTCCTTGTTGTTGTGTTGAGGACACTGCCCTTGTTGGCAGGGGTAAAGCCAGGTGGCCAGAGTGGGAGAGTAGGAATGCAGGCCAGCAGCGCCTGTGTGGTGAGCAGGTGGCGTTGTGCGTCCTGTCCCTGTTTCATTGGTGAGAGCATAACCTGAGTCATGCCTGCTGCAAAGGACATTGGGGTATAGTTCCTGGTGAGCAGCCTCACATGCCAGGAGGAAAGAGCAGAACAGATTAGGGGCCTAGAGACTGTGTGGCTCTTGTCTTTCCAGAATGCAGGTGGGAGATCATTGATTTCCTTGTGTGTGGTTGACCTGGGCACAGGCTAACTACAGCTTAAGGTAAGAGTGGTGATTTTAGATGTTACAAACTCCCTCAGAAGCATAAAGAAGATACCGGAGTTTTGTGTTTGCTTCCATTAAGTTTATATTATTCTTTGCATCTGAAAATTTCAAAAATGTTGCTAAATAATAATTCAAATGACTACATTATTGGAAATAACATTCTGGCTTAGAAAATGTCAAAGTTTTGGGGAATTAGAACTAAGGAAATCTCTTCTGTGTTCTGTTCTCATTTCCATTTCTGGATTTTTTTTTTTTTTTTACTTTAATAGTTAAGATGTTTTTTTTCAAGGGAGCACCTTTCTTTATTCCTTGACTAGCTAGCTTAGTTGTTAAATTATTTATATTGGAAACAGATGAGGGAGTTAGTGTCTAAGAAAGGAACTTAAAAACCTTGTATTCCAGCAATCCTGCTATGCAAAACAGGAACAGGAAGCCCAGAGAGGATAAGTGACTTCCTGGAGGTCACACACCTCATTAATTTTAGCCTTAAACTAGAAACCAAGTATCCTCACTCCCAGTCTTAATATCAAGAGCAAAGATTTAAACATGCTCAGATCAGAGTTCTCTCTTTCTTCCAACCTAGTACAAGCATGGGTTCTTTGCTCAGATTTTTGTTGGTAGGAAATTATTTCCTTATTAAGTATTAGAAAACCATGAACGTTTTTTTTGTTTTGTTTTTCTTTTTTTTAATTTTGTTATCATTAATTTACAATTACATAAAGAACATTATGTTTACTAGGGTCCCCCCTTCACCAAGTCCCCCCCNCCCACTCCCTTTCCCTTTGGTAACTGTTAGTCCATTCTTGAGTTCTGTGATTCTGCTGCTGTTTTGTTCCTTCAGTTTTCCTTTGTTGTTATACTCCACATATGAGTGAAGTCATTTGGTACTTGTCTTTCTCCGCCTGGCTTATTTCACTGAGCATAATACCCTCTAGGTCCATCCATGCTGCTGCAAACGGTAGGATCTGTATTTTCTTATGGCTGAGTAACATTCCATTGTGTATGTGTACCACATCTTCTTTATCCATTCATCTACTGATGGACATATAGGTTGCTTCCATATCTTGGCTATTGTAAATAGTGCAGCGATAAACACAGGGGTGCATCTGTCTTTTTCAAACTGGAGTGCTGCATTCTTAGGGTAAATTCCTAGAAGTGGATTCCTGGGTCAACTGGTATTTCTATTTTGAGCATTCTGAGGAACCTCCATAGTGCTTTCCACAATGGTTGAACTAATTTACATTCCCACCAGCTGTGTAGGAGGGTTCCCCTTTCTCCACAACCTTGCCAACATTTATTGTTGTTTGTCTTTTCAATGATGGCAATCCTTACTGGTGTGAGGTGATATGTCATTGTGGTTTTAATTTGCTTTTTTCTGATGATTAGCGATGTGGAGCATCTTTTCATGTGCCTGTTGGCCATCTGGATTTCTTCTTTAGAGAACTGTCTATTCAGCTCCTCTGCCCATTTTTTAATTGGGTTATTTTCTTTTTGTTTGTTGAGGCATGTGAGCTCTTTATATATTTTGGATGTCAATCCTTCATTGGATCTGTCATTTATGAATATGTTCTCCCATACTGTAGGATGGCTTTTTGTTCTATTGATGGTGTCCTTTCCTGTACAGAAGCTTTTTAGCTTGATATAGTCCCACTTGTTCATTTTTGCCTTTGTTTCCCTTGCCTGGGGAGATATGTTCATGAAAAAGTCACTCATATTTATGTCCATGAGATTTTTGCCTATGTTTTTTTCTAAGAGTATTATGGTTTCATGGCTTACATTCAGTTCTTTGATCTATTTGGAGTTTACTTTTGTGTATGGGGTTAGACAGTGATCCAGTTTCATTCTCTTACATGTAGCTGTCCAGTTTTGCCTGCACCGTCTGTTGAAGAGACTGTCATTTCCCCATTGTATGTCCATGGCTCCTTTATCGTATATTCATTGGCCATATTATATGTTTGGGTTAATGTTTGGAGTCTCTATTCTGTTCCACTGGTCTGTGGCTCTGTTCTTGTGCCAGTACCAAATTGTCTTGATTATTGTGGCTTTGTAGTAGAGCTTGAAGTTGGGGAGCGAGATCCCCCCCACTTTATTCTTCCTTCTCAGAATTGCTTTGGCTGTTCGGGGTCTTTGGTGTTTCCATATGAATTTTTGAACTATTTGTTCCAGTTTGTTGAAGAATGTTGTTGGTAATTTGATAGGACTGCATCAAATCTGTAGATTTCCTTGGGTAGGATGGCCATTGTGACGATATTAATTCTTCATAGCCAGGAGCATTGGATGAGTTTCCATTTGTTAGTGTCCTCTTTAATTTTTCTTAAGAGTGTCTTATAATTTTCAGGGTATAGGTCTTTCACTTCCTTGGTTAGGTTTATTCCTAGGTATTTCATTCTTTTTGATGCAATTGTGAATGGAATTGTTTTCCTGATTTCTCTATTGGTTCATTGTTAGTGTTTAGGAAAGCCACAGATTTCTGTGTGTTAATTTTGTATCCTGCAACTTTGCTGAATTCCGATATTCTAGTAGTTTTGGAGTGTAGTCTTTAGGGTTTTTTATGTACAATATCATGTCATCTGCAAATAGTGACAGTTTGACTTCTTTACCAATCTGGATTCCTTGTATTTCTTTGTTTTGTTTGATTGCCATGGCTAGGACCTCCAGTACTATGTTGAATAACAGTGGGGAGAGTGGGCATCCCTATATTGTTCCTGATCTCAGAGGAAAAGCTTTCAGCCTCTCGCTGTTCAGTATGATTTTAGCTGTGGGTGTATCATATATGGCCTTTATTATGTTGAGGTATTTGCCCTTTATGCCCATTTTGCTGAGAGTTTTTCTCATGAATGGATGTTGAATTTTGTCGAATGCTTTTTCAGCATCTATGGAGATGATCATGTGTTTTTTCTTCTTCTTTTTGTTGATGTCGTGGATGATGTTGATGGATTTTCGATTGTTGTACCATCCTTGCATCCCTGGGATGAATCCCACTTGGTCATAGTGTATGATACTTTTGATGTATTTTTGAATTCTGTTTTCTAATATTTTGTTGAGTATTTTTGCATCTACGTTCATAAGGGATATTGGTCTGTAGTTTTCTCTTTTGGTGGGGTCTTTGCCTGGTTTTGGTATTAGGGTGATGTTGGCTTCATGGAATGAATTTGGGAGTATTCCCTCCTATTCTTTTTTTGGAAAACTTTAAGGAGAATGGGTATTATGTCCTCTGTGTGTCTGATAAAATTCCGAGGTAAATCCATCTGACCTGGGGGTTTCATTCTTGGGTAGTTTTTTTATTACCGCTTCAATTTCATTGGTGGTAATTGGTCTGTTAAGATTTTCTGTTTCTTTCAGGGTCAGTCTTGGAAGGTTGTATTTTTCTAGGAAGTTGTCCATTTCTCCTGGGTTTTCCAGCTTGTTAGCATATAGATTTTCATAGTATTCTCTAATAATTCTTTGTATTTCTATGGGGTCTGTCGTGATTTTTCCCCTCTTGATTCTGATTCTGTTGATGTGTGTTGACTCTCTTTTTCTCTTAATAAGTCTGGCTAGAGGCTTATTTATTTTGTTTATTTTCTCGAAGATCCACCTCTTGGTTTCACTGATTTTTCTATTGTTTTATTCTCAATTTTATTTATTTCTTCTCTGACATTTATTATGTCCCTCTGTCTGCTGACCTTAGGCCTCATTTGTTCTTCTTTTTCCAATGTAGATAATTGTGACATTAGACTATTCATTTGGGATTGTTCCTCCTTCTTTAAATATGTCTGGATTGCGATATACTTTCCTCTTAAGACTGCTTTTGCTGTGTTCCACAGACGTTGGGGCTTTGTTTTGTTGTTGTCATTTGTTTCCATATATTGCTGGATCTCCATTTTAATTTCGTCACTGATCCATTGATTATTTAAGAGCATGTTGTTAAGCCTCCATGTGTTAGTGAGCCTTTTTGCTTTCTTTGTACAATTTATTTCTAGTTTTATACCTTTGTGGTCTGAAAAGTTGGTAGAATTTCTATCTTTTGGAATTTACTGAGGCTCTTTTTGTGGCCTAGTATGTGGTCTATTCTGGAGAATGTTCCATGTGCACTTGAGAAGAATGTGTATCCTGTTGCTTTTGGGTGTAGAGTTCTATAGATGTCTATTAGGTCCATCTGTTCTAGTGTGTTTGTTCAGTGCCTCTGTGTCCTTACTTATTTTCTGTCTGGTGGCTCTGTCCTTTGGAGTCAGTGGTGTGTTAAAGTCTCCCAAAATGAAT